TGAAGGCCATTTCCCTCCTGGAACTTCATCTCACCTGTAATATTAACTGTCCCTTAGAAATTAGGTTCAAGTGGGCTCCCGAAGGGGCCTCCACCTGCCCCTCAGGGGTCCCGCAGGTGCTGGGCACGGGCGCCCCTCTCAGGGTCGGGGGCTCCTTTCCCAGCACTTCCAGCCGCTCCCACGGCCCCGGGCCCCTCCACAGTCTCTGGGGCATCTCGGAGGGCTTCCTCCCCATGCTGGGCAGCCAGTGTCTCCCCAAGCACAGCTGGGTGACAGAAAGTCTCGCAGGGCCGGCCTGACAAAGGGGGGCTGGAGAGGAAAACGCTAGATAACCGCATGTCCTGGGTGTACATCCTCAACTTTGATTCACTTCAAGCCAAGAAATAGAGATGGAGCACCTACTGTGTACCAAACGCTGTAACAGGCCCGGAGGGAAATAGACACGAACAAGAGTGAAAACAACCCCCCGATATTTATCCACCTGACCACGAACACACAGGCACTTCACTCCCATCACCCCCGCTGCCTCCGTAGCAGCACAGAGGCAGGGACGGCAGCCCAGCTTCATAGGAGGGACCCGCTCAACCAGGCAGCGGGCAGACCCAGTGGCTCGGCGGCTCCCTGCCGAGGGGGTGCTGTTTAAGCAGCTGAGACCACGCAGACAGACGGGAGGCAGCCTGGGAGAGCAGCACCGGGACCCTCCCAGACTCAGTGGCTGCCAGTGATCCGAGGCAGAGATGGTGCCCACGGTGGCACTGTGTGTCCCAGCAATCTGGGTGAGCACTGGCCACACCATGGGGCTGGGCCTGGTCCAGCCCCCAGGGCTCATCATTCCAGACCTTTCCACTCTCTGGTTTCCTGAGCAAGCCCCGTGCTCTCTTGGTTGCGTGTACAGTGCATGTGCACCAGGGCCGGACTAGACACCCGTCTCCTGAATGCAGAGCCCGGGGGGAGCCATCAGCCCTGCTTGAGGCCTGGCTCTGGGCACGGGAGAGCTGCAGGGAATGAGCTGAATTTCATTTCCACCCTGGGCCTGAGAAGCTGAGGGTCAGCCACCCCTTTTACATGACTGGTCCCAGACAGACGAGCTTATTAACAGGACTCTGTATGAGTGACGCTGAGTCAGACCACCCTCCCCCTGGGCACCTGGTGGGATGTATGACAGTGATTCACCCAGCAGGAGAGCAAACCACGCTCTTTCCTTCCTGGGTGGGAATTGCTCTTTCAGCACCTGCTCCAAAGAAAACGGACCTGGCTGTTGAGGAGAACAAAGCCCAAAACTTCCTGGGCAGCCTGAAGCGACAGAGACGGCAACTGTGGGACCCGACCTGGTCCAACACCCAGCAGGGGTACCCGCAGTGGGACCCGCAGTGGGACCCGCAGTCGTACCAGCAGTGGTACCCGCAGTGGGACCCGCAGTGGTACCAGCAGTGGTACCAGCAGTGGTACCCGCAGTGGTACCCGCAGTGGGACCCGCAGTCGTACCCGCAGTGGAACCAGCAGCTCCCCAATACAGGCTCCAACAGGAGGGTGAGTACCCGCTCCCACTGTGTGTGTGTGTGTGTGTGTGTGTGTGTGCTGGGGATAGCTTGGGGAAACAGGGCACAGAAAATAAGGCTTCATTGTTGGCTCCAAAAGGACAAGCCCCCCCCCCCATGGCAAGGCTACCCAAGCTCTGGGTTACGTGACCATCAGTATGGGGACAGCAGCTGGAGTTGTCCATCACACTGGGTTCAGATGGGAAGCCCTCCCAACATGTTTGGGAAGCGGAGTTCCAGAGAAGTCACTGCCCAAACTGGCTGGAACTGATTCATCAAGTCTGGTTTTCCTAGGAACAGTTCTAACAACTCTACCTGGGTGTCCTTAAAATAACTCACAACCACCCCAAAACATTTTCAGCTTTACCTCAAAAAATGTCAGAAACAACAAGGTCAATGGGAAGACCCAAGGGGACAATGGAAGGAGATGGAAACTGGCTTTTAAAGAGAGATGGGTCTTTGCAAATGCTTTGGAGATGATTTGTTAATGTGTTTGCAGGAAAAGATGGTTCGGTTCACATGTCCAGGTAGTGAGAGTGGACATATTCACCCAATTACAGGAAAAAATGTTTCTAATCACAGACTCCCAGCTGGGGACCAGGGGCAGGTAGGACAGCGCAGGGTNCACCCAATTACAGGAAAAAATGTTTCTAATCACAGACTCCCAGCTGGGGACCACGGGCAGGTAGGACAGCGCAGGGTGGAGGTGGGGAAGGCGGTGCACAGAATTCTGCAGAGTGACGGCCAGGCTTTCACTCGGGAGCAGTGCAGTGTGTCAGACATCATTTTTTAAATTAAATTTATTGGGAAACAAAACAAAACTAAATGAATGGGACTATATCAAACTAAAACGCTTCTGCACAGTAGAACAAACCATCAACTTAACAAAAAGGCATCTGATGGAATGGGAGACGATATTTGCAACAGCAATACCTCTGATACGGGGCAAATAGCCAAAATATATAAAGAACTCCAACAACTCAAGAGCAATAAAGCAAACAATCTGATTATAAAGTGCGCTGGGGACCTGAAGAGACCATTTTTAATGGCTTGCATCAAATGCATCCAACTGAATTATGCAGCCGTATCGGAATTTCCTTCTGGTTCCCAACCATTGGCCATATCAGTTGTTCCCCAGTTATCTTGTTGCTACTCAAATATAATGTTTTGTTGTGCAAATAACTGAACTCTTACAGCAAAACTCTGTGCCAGGAATATTCTAGTTCTTACATGAATTAACTTGCTTAACATTTACAACCACTCCACAGGCTGTAATTGGCACCTCTTTGTGTAGCTAGTTTCTTCCTGAGCATCGCCCGCGCCCAGGGCAGTTACTGGGCGAAGGTGGATACATCTGAGGGTCGCTCCCTAAGCCATGGGTGAGGACCCCCGTTTCCTCACGTCTGCAGCAGCATCTGCTATTCTCACGGGAAGCTTTAAAATTGTACTTGTTTGATAGATGAAAATGCAATTTCACCTTTAAGCACTTTGCATTTCTTTGGTTACCAGTATTTGCAATTCTTGAAAATGGGTACTAAGAGTTCAACATGGGGAAACGGCTACGTAGTGTCTGAGGACAGAACCAGACTAAAGGAGGAACAAATAAGACCTAATAACTAAATATGCGCAGGCGACACTGGAAGGAGCCCCCTCGGCGGCAGCAGTGGCCGCTGGCAGCGGAACTGCGATCTCCCTTTTTCTTTGTCCCCTCCCAAATATGGATTTTAAAATATGAGCCCACATTTTTTCTGTAGTCATAAAACACTTAAAAAATTTAATGAAATATATTTTAAGCCAAGCTTCAAACGAGATTCTAAAACGAGAAAATCAAGGAACAAGATGATTTCGCTCCAGGAGAAACTGCAGCGTTGGGGACAAGCCAGCGCCCTCCTCTTCCAGGCACAGGCCCCA